TCAAATCTTCTTTAGTCCTCTCCTGAACATACTGGCCACTGTAAAACCCTCTACAATCCTCCCCACATACAGCCCACTGTGATATCCTCCACACTCCTTTCCACATACATTACCACCATAACTTCACTGAAACGTACGTACGTACGTACATACATACATACATACATACGTACATACATACAATAGCAGAGTATTGGAACTAACACTCGATACAAAGCAACTGCCCAGGTGATTCACACAAATGAAGTAGTATATACCAGGGCTCAAAATTTCAAGTCCTGAGCTACTAGCCAGGCCTCAAGAGTTACCAGTCACCAGTTGCCCCACCTAACCCTTACCCTGGCCCGGCCTTAACTCCGCCCCTAAACACACCCTCTTAAATAATCTTAGGATAATTCTTATCTTATGATAGTTGCCGCTTGTAAACGGCAGATTAGGGATTCCTGCTGCAGGAAAACGCAAGTTCCTGACACAGGAATCCCTAACCACACCTGAAATATACTCTAGGTGTGAATGGGGCCTAATATACACATACACTAAAGGTGTCCATACACCTGCTGATTATCGTACGATAATCGGCAGGTGTATGGGCAGCGTACGACCGCTTCTACTGTAAGGTCGCACGACTTTCGTCTTCCAAGCACGCTGCAAAACCTGCCGAAAATCGTACGATTTTTGGCGGGTTGGTGGCGTGGTTGGAAGACGAATGGCGCCCTCAGCAGGGAGGGCTTGCGATGATCGCAAGTACGATCTGCCTGTCCAAGATGGGCAGATCGTACGAGATTTTAATGACCTTAAAACCATTGCATAAAAGTCGTGCGATGGTTGTAAGGTCTATGGGCAGCTTAAAAAAAACACTAAAATATACTTCTCAACGTTACACCAGCACCACCACCCCCGCACAAATATAATAATAAAATTCCCCCGCACACAAAAAATAATACACTCCCCCCTTATTAACCCCCCATCAGAGCTCTAGCATGTTGGCTTCCACTTGTACTGCTTAAACTGAAGAAGACCTTAAAACCCAACCTCAGAATGACATAGTTTATGTAATCTTTTAAGTTTGCAGTATACTCCATAGACGATGATGCTACATACATATTATCATCTCTGTTTCATGTATAATCTGTGACACTGCAAAACTGCGTTGAAGGATACATTGTTATGTGACTATATATGTCCCCTAATCTAATTAATCACATAGGGATACTACCATTTGGAAAATTACACATTCACATCACATTGAATCTTAACCCTACAACTGTCCCAGGCATTCTTGCTGAGGAGCCCTCTTCAAAGCTATGCAAATAGTCTGCTCTTCATATCAAAGAAAATGAAAGCTTTCAAAATGCCTCATAGCTGAAAAAAAAATGTCAGGCCTATTATTTTTATTTCTACTAGAGGGGATATTAAACGAGTTATTGTCATTGTTTCACCTGCAGGAGACATGATATGAATGTGAACTAGAAGCTGTTTTACATATCTTATGGCCGTTTTATATACTATGTAACTAACATATATTGTAAGATTATAATTTTATTCAAGTGTTATGAGATATGCAAGAGTTGTCAACTGTTCATTTCTTTCTTTTTCTACATCTCAAACCTGACACTAAAAATAACACATTTATTTTATTGAATATTCCCTATTCAGTGCTATAAAAGGGTTGGACAACTGAAGGTGCCAGTTTTGTGTTTAAAAATGGCTCCACATTACTCGCTACTGTAGAATGACAGTTTGTAATTTCCATTGTCAATCATGTGCACAAAGTATAAGATGTCAAACAAAAATCTTTTTTTGTCTATTTCCTCATTCTAGTCTGTTCCTTTCAGTGAATGATGTTATCAGTAGATATATTCAAATGCTATTCTTGTCTGACAATGAACTAACAAACTTTCCTAACTACTCAGGTTAGTTGTTCACCTACTTATGACACATATAATCGTGGACAGAATTTTCCGCATCAGTCTTTCCTGCTCATGCATGGGGGTTTGTTTTTAGTGCCTGCAAGCCAGTTCTGTTATTTTGCAGCTTTGAGGTTTCAACACTGATAACAAATTGAAATCAATAAGTTCTCCTATGTATTCCTAACAGTAACTCCCCCATAACCTTCCTGCTACCTGAGCACTTAGCCTAACCATTAAAAAGAGCTGATAATACTTAACCTTGCCCCTAACACTTAACCTAATGCCTAAGTGAGCCATTTACTCTTAACCCCCCAGCACTTAACTCCTGACTGTTAAGCTGGCCATACCCTGCTTAGATTTTCGAAAAGAACTTTCATACTAAAGATCTTTTGTTTTAATTTCCTATTAGTTGATGGGGTCTAATCAACTATTGATTGAACTATTGTAGTGATGAAAAAACTCAAAGGAGCAGGAACTAATTAAATTCTAATAGTGAATGTGGTTTTGTTCAGAAAAACTCCATTCATTCCAAAATCATATGCTAGAATCAAACAAAATTTCGATTGACATTTGTCAAGTGTCTGATGGCATTATTGAGTAGTAAAGAAAAATCTTTCTTACGAACATTCGTTCAGAAATTTACTAGTGTATGGCCAACTTTAACTGCTCCTCCCAATCGGGACAAATTAACTGGTTCTCTTTTCTGCTACTAATACTTTTCTTTCCTGCACTCCCCCTCTGCCTTGTTTGACTGCCGCAGCCACAAGTAGAAGATCTGTTTTAAACCCCATATCTGTCTGTGCCAGAGCTTGCACAGGGCTAAGGATCATCCCTCACTGTCATGTGACAATGCTTGGGCCTGGCGATTGCTTTTTCCGGTCCCATGCATTGCATAGTGGGAGGGCGGGGTGAAGGTAACATGCTCCCGAAAATGCTTAAGTACCAGGTATTTCCAACTACTCTGCTTGGCAGTAAGGGGAGCATGGGGAAGGTACTTGTTACAGAGGAAGTGGGCTATAAAGAGTACCTGCTTCTTCTTTTTTTCTGAATAGGGATTAAGTAATCCATAAAACATCACTTGATCCATAAACTAAACAGTAAGGTTAACTAATGCTTTCTTCTTTCTTCGCCTTGTCTTAAGCTGGAAGCCTCTGCACTGCATCCTCAAAAAACATGCACTAATGATATTGCAGGCAAAGGAAAGGCTGTGCAATCTGTCAATCCAGATCTTGCTTCAAAAACAGAGCAGATAGTCATAACAGGACAATCACCCACTAAAAGTCAGCATTGACTGCTTAAATTCAAAATAAGCACGTGTCTTGGTTTTAAGAGTAACAAACAGAAATTCACAGGCACATATTTAGTGGAGCTTTTGATCACAGGTGGCCAGCTTACCATTTATTCACAGAGAAAGTCATACAATGCCTTTGGAAAATACATTGCTAAATGCGGACCTTTTAAATATTGCTACTGCAGAGTGTGAACAAGGCCTCCTATGTGAAGGTTCAGTTTTGTGAAGTTCTTCTAGCACTTCCCTGCCCTCACTGCTATTACTGCACCTTTTAAGAAACTGCCATATGTTCACAGGGGAATCCTCTTACTCCAGTGCAAATGCATATAGTAGAAGAGATTTATGGGGAAACTGCATTGGACACAAGCTGTCTACATTATCCTCCATACAGAATTAAACATGATATTTTAGTGAGAGCATATTGCATTTATTTTATCAAAAAATATTTTGATTTATCACATTTATATTTATAAAAATGTTTGATAAAGGTATGTAATTTGATTACTCTGCTCTGCTTTGTACTTCAAAAGATGCAGCCTGTGAGAAGGGATTGCTGTATAGGCTCTAACTAGAAATGTGATTTAGTCACAAGACATAGGGAAGAGTTTTGCAAAATACATTTATGGCATAGAATCTCCCTGTTCTGGCAACTGTCAGGTGAAATGAATGGATGAGGCATTGAAATCACTAAAGAGTTCCACTTCCTATGCACTATAGTGCTTTTAGCAGTGTTGACACCAAACGTGTCAGATTAAGTGCCATTTTATTGGCGTGCCAACACAATTTGCCATAGACACCGATACCCAAATCTGGACCAAGATTTTATACCGAATAAATGAGAGTGCTTGCTACAGAGCAATAATACCGTATATACTCGAGTATAAGCCGAGTTTTTCAGCCCCCCCCTCGGCAATAATGTAAAGTAAAACTTTCAATCACTTAATAAGTCTGCATTAATAAATTCCGGACATATTACAATATATAACAAAAGTATATGTATATATAGAATATATGACTCTTTAATCATTAAAAGTAGTCCTTGAGCTACAGTCCAGTAATTCTCCCTAGGATGAGAGGATGTTATCAGTCTGCTGCAGGCAGGAGAAATCCCTTCCTAAAGCTGACTATACACTAAGCGAATTTCGTCCCTGACCGCTGCTTTCCACCCGATATCCTTCAACTAAAAAAAAATCAAAGGAGCCTGGCGTGAAATTCATTAGCCAAACAACTCCTGATTTAGATGCAGGCAGTGTTCAGGTATTTTGACAACCAGTGGGGCTGATTTTCAAAATACAATAGCTGCAGTGTGAGATTCCTCCATCATGAGAGGTTGCAGCAACAACTAATTTGTGTTAGACATTTGTGAACAAGATCTGCACAGCCACCAAAATGTACATTATTATTTGATCTTTGAGCCAGCATGTCATTCCTGGAAGTATATGCTAATCCTGGATGATACTTGAACAAAGATGGCTCCATGCTTCTAGAGAGAAAGCAGATGAAGATATTGGGGGGGGGGGGGCACTGTGATCTCTGTGAGAGCTAATAAATACTTGTAAGTGTTTCACTTGCATTTTACTTGGCGTTCATACACTTAATACACTTAATAAAATATATGATGCTAGGTCCAATGTAAGACATATTGAAGTCTACTTTACATAAATAATCTTGTTTTTTTGGAGTTTGAAATGTTGGTGTTTATTTGTATCTCCTAGTGGGCAGTCTGATAGACCTGTAAACACCTATACATACGTTGTTTGAGAAATGTTTTAACATCTATTCTTTTTTTTCATCCCTAGCTTCTTCTGGAGTCTATGGTTGATGCAGCAGAGAATCTCTGTCCAAATGTGATGAAGAAAGCGAACATTCGTGAGGATCTTATTCATGCCAGCACTGAGAAGATCTCCATTCCTCGAAACTTTGTAAAGAATGTTATGCTTGAGCAATCTGGAATAGATATTCTGAACAAAATAAGGTAGGATATAGTTTTTAGGCTAAGCACACTGGAACAAAGTAATGTGTATATTGCATTTGAAAGAACTGTGCTAATTGGTAATTGCATCTCATGTGACCACATAACATAACCCTAATCCACTTTTTTAGAAAAACAGCAACACTTTCACCATTTATTTGCAGTTTATTGGACATAACCTTGCATATGTAACATGCATTAGTTTGTTGTTTTTTTCCCCATTTATTTTTACCTAATGATTTAGCCACTTCCTGTCTTCGAGTGGCTCCACTCTCTGGAGGAGCAACAGAGCAGCCCTCAGACAGCAGCATTGTCACCCTGTGGAGAGGGAAGTGTTAGATGCACTTGCTTGACTAACAAATAAATCCGAACTCCAACTAACACTTTTTTAAGCAGTTCCAGCAACAGTTGTTTTATTTTTTTCTCTTTTTTGGATAAAGGTTTCACATAAATGAAAAAGCTAACCATTGTAAGCACCCCTGTCAGTGGTAAAAGGTTTGTCTTAAAGGAGAACTATGGGGTTAAGGCTTTTCCCCATAGTTCTCCTTAAGGTAACGGGAGGACACAAACTAGCGTCCTCCGGTCACCCTAGGCTCAGTATACCGCAAGCTGCAGCTCGCGGTATACTGAGACGCCGCAGTATACCGCGAGCTACTGCTCGCGATATACTAAGACGCTGAAGCGGATCCCGACAATTATGTCTGGATCCGCCCAGCTGCGTGACTGACAGCTGGCTCTGCCTACCTAGAGGCAGAGAAAGCTGTACCCGCCCCCTCCCCCGTCCGTTCCGCCAGTCAGCGCTGGCGGATCAGGGAGGGGGGAATCCAGCCCGTCCCCTGTCACGGCAGAGAGCCGTGACAGGATCGAGAGGTGAACGAGTGCCAGTATGTGTTCGCTCACCTCCCTATCTACTGAGCCGACCTGTGACAGTCTCATTGTCACAGGTCGGCTAGAACTATGAGGTGAGTGAAAAGCACTCAGGGGAGGGGCTGGATTCCCTTCTCCCGACTCCGATCCGCCAGCGCTGACTGGTGGAACGGACGGGGGAGAGGCGGGTACAGCTGGCTCTGCCTCTAGATAGGCAGGGCCAGCTGTCACTCACGCAGCTGGGTGGATCGATGTTGGGATCCGCTCCGGCTGCGGCGTCTCAGTATACCGCGGGCTGTAGCTCGCGGTATACTGAGACTAGGGTGACGGGAGGACGCCAGTTTGTGTCCTCCCTTTACCCTAAGGAGAACTATGGGGAAAAGCCCTGACCCCATAGTTATCCTTTAATAAATTGAGGAACTGTTGAGTATATTTAGAAAATGGTTCTGATGAAACATGAAACACTACAGAAAACAATTTGCTTAGATTGCAATTCTTTTTTTATCCTCATAATCAGTTTTATAGCAGCTATATGGATAATTTAGAAAAGCTTTATCATAAGTTTGTTGGTAGAAAAAAAAAATGCAATTATTGGCATGATGCAGCATTTTCAGGTAGACAGAAAATCCCCAGCTTTGGTGGTTCTTTATACTATCCAGGGTAAAGAATTCACACCTGAATTTGAAGTACGTTTCCAGAAGCACTTCGACACTCAGAATTTCATGTTATTCTGTTGTGCCTATTCACATCTCAGAAATGTCCTGTCGCTCAACATTTAGAAAAAGTGCAATCGCTTCTTTGCGGCATGATCTCATGTTTTTGGCCCCAATAGACTTCAGTGGAAGCACCTGAAAAACACTCATGACAGCCTTCTTCTCCTACTCATAACTATCTTTGCATTGGCTAAAATTAAAAATGCTCAAGCCTGAAAACGTGTACAAACATGAAAAAACAAATAAAATGCACGAAAATGCTTGTTACATGCATTTTTCATGTGCTCCCATTGAGCTCTATGGGACTAAAAACACACTGTAGCAACAAAAGCACCTGCACCTTTTTCAAAATCGGACCCCAAAGAAAATAATGGGATTCCTTCTGTTGTGCATTAACGTGCAACGGCCATATCGCACAGGTAAGAACAGGGACTGAATCTACAATGTGATCCAATAATATGTTTCAGCCTTCCGTTTCTGTATCCACAACTCACCGTGGCACATTTTAATGCACATGCTGCTTTTACATGCTTTGGCCAAATAAAACGAATTTCCTTCTGCAAGTCTAAGTGTGTGGACCATAGGCTATAATGAAGGAATATTAGAAATAAATACATTAAATAAACATTGACTGTACTCCACAGCAGCAACTAAACACAAGCTCCTCCTCTTCATGTAACGGGTCCCTGAAGCCCGTTCTCTTTGGTACTCCTTCCATAGGTTGCACTCTGAATTCATCACATGCAATGCAGGACGAGCAGTCCTGCATTGTAAATGCGGACACAGAGGGTCTGCCCACAACCTTAAGAGTCAGAAACTAGAGGAAAGCACTGGCTGCTGGCAAAGGGAGGAATAAATTAAGTAAAAGTGCTTTTTAATGGTACCATAAGCAAAAAAATTAGCATTTAACCCTTGCAGTGTGGGGTGGTTTTTGCTCTAACTGCCAGCAAATGCATCTGCAGTTCCTAATGGTTGGTTCTTAGTGAAAGCCCTGCTTTTCCCAATATAATGCTTCTACATAGGATGTTACAGGAGGCTTACACAAATACTTGAGGTACTTAATCAGCCTAATTAAAAAAATGTTTACCACATTTTAAAAACAGCACTGCGATTTTACCACCTTTTTAAAGCAGCACTGCGGTAGGGGTTGTTTTTCCAGTTTCTGTTCTAGGATGCTGTTCAGACTGCTGGTGGTGATCTGTTCTGGAACTGCCACTTTTCAATGACAGATGCTGTCCACCACTAGGCCCAAGAGCTTAATGGTTAAGCCTAGGCTTCCAATCCTGCTATGGAATGTTCTAGAAGAACACTTACTCCTAGAGCACTGCATCAAAATGTAAAGTCACTACACTTCCTTTCGGTTTGGTGACAATTTGGACATAGCAAAGAGCTTACCCATTCTTTGCCTGTGAGAAGAAACATTAAGACATTTTGCAGACACATTGTTTACATTAAACTTGTCTGCGGTCTTCACTGATTAACAGCACAGGGAGGTGAGATACAGTTGTGCGAAAAAGTGTTGGCCCCCTTCCTGATTTGTCATTGTTTTGCACGTTTGTCACACTTTAATGTTTCAGATCATCAAACAAATGTAAATATTAGTCAATAACGCAAGTAAACACAACATGCAGTTTTTAAAGGAAGGTTTTTATTATTAAGGGAAAACAAAAATCCAAACTTACACGGCCATGTGTGAAAAAGTGTTTGCCCCCCCTGTTAAAACATAACTTAACTCTGGTTTATCACACCTGAGTTCGATTTCTCTAGCCACACCCAGGCCTGATTACTGCCACACCTGTTCGCAATCAAGAAATCACTTAAATAAGACTTGAATGACAAAGTGAAGTAGACCAAAAGATCCTCAAAAGCTACACATCATTCCGAGATCCAAAGAAATCCAGGAACAAATGAAAAAGAAAGTAATTGAGATCTATCAGTCTGGAAAAGGTTATAAAGCCATTTCCAAAGCTTTGGGACTCCAGGGAACTACAGTGAGAGCCATTATCCACAAATGGCAAAAACATGGAACAGTGGTGAACCTTCCCAGGAGTGGGTGGCCAACCAAAATTACCCCAAGAGCGCAGCGACGACTCATCCAAGAGGTCACAAAAGACCCCACAACAACATCCAAAGAACTGCAGGCCTCACTTGCCTCAGTTCAGGTCAGTGTTCATGACTCCACAATAAGAAAGAGACTGGGCAAAAAGACGAAAATCGCTGCTGAGCAAAAATAGCATAAAAGCTTGTCTCCGTTATGCCAGAAAACATCTTGATGATCCCCAAGACTTTTGGGAAAATACTCTGTGGACTGAAGAGACAAAAGTTGAACCTTGTTGAAGGTGTGTGTCCCATTACATCTGGCATAAGAGTAACACCTCATTTCAGAAAAAGAACATCATACCAAACTTGCTGTGATAAATGGAACCATGAATTCTGCTGTCTACCAAAAAATCCTGAAGGATAATGTGCGGCCATGTGTTCGTGACCTCAAGCTGAAGTGAACTTGGGTTCTGCAGCAGGACAATGATCCAAAACGCACCAGCAAGTCCACCTCTGAATGGCTGAAGAAAAACAAAATGAAGACTTTGGAGTGGCCTAGTCAAAGTCCTGACCTGAATCCTATTGAGATGCTGTAACAGACTCATTGCAAGTTATCGCAAACGCTTGATTGCAGTTCTTGCTGCTAAGGGTGGCCCAACCAGTTATTGGGTTTAGGGGGCAAACACTTTTTCACACAGGGCCATGTGGGTTTGGATTTTGTTTTTTCCCTTAAGTAAACACAACATGCAGTTTTTAAAGGAAGGTTTTTATTATTGTGTTATCTTTGACTAATATTTAAATTTGTTTCATAATCTGAAACATTAAAGTGTAACAAACGTTCAAAACAATGAAAAATCAGGAAGGGGGCCAACACTTTTTCACACAGCTGTACATGTCTGCAGAAAGGGATTGAGAACAAGGCAGGGAATCCAGTGATTTATATGGGGCAGTGTAGTATCGAAATCAGCAATAAGGGCTCCTGGTACTGAGAACATAGAATCGGGTATATGAAACAGATGTTTTTTATGTTGTAAGAAACCCTGTTTAATAGTATGTTCTCCCTATGTGATAATGTTAATTGGCCCTGACTGCAGACAGTATGAATGTAAACAATGCACAGTCTGGGCCTGTGATGACAGCTCTCAGAGCACACGAAAAGAAGGGACCAATAAAAGGTTAGATTTTGAAGAAATATTTGGAGTGATCAGATATTTAAAACAGTTAAAGTTTTTTTAAACTGCAGTTATCATTTAAAGTGAAAAAAGCTGCTTGCACAGTAGACATACATGTACTGTATGTAGACCTGGCACACTACATAGCCAGTCATAGGTAATAGGCAGCACTGTTAATTCCAGTTTGTTTTGTGGCTTTAGGTGTCATGTGCCTGCTCCTGCTCGTAGACAATAATTCAGCATTAACACACTGCTAATTGATTGTACAAGCTCTGAGCAGACACCTGCCTGTAATGTAATTGGAGGGCAGTACTAGGAATCATTCCTGAGAACAAATGGCTGGAGTGGTTTGCTCAGATGTGAAGGGGCCTGTTACCATAGCCATTTTTGCTCAGCTCTTGAAAAATCATCTCATGTCTAGGGGTACTTTTTAGCCTATGTTGGCTTGTAGCATCTGCTCATTAATTGCCTCCATTGGTGATCCCTGTCTTCAAGATTTTTTTTTTTTAATTTAATAACCAGAATTCATTGTTGAATTGTGCTTTTTTTATTTTTTTTATTATTATAATAAGTTAAGGCTTTGTGTCAGCTATGTGCCATTGCTATACGTTCTCTCAAGCATTCATCGGTAAATGTAAACCACTGTGAATAAAAATAAAATTGGGGCTGATATTTTTCAGTGAGGCATTAGTCAGTTTTTTTTTTTCGAGTGAGTGCACTCACAAAGGATATGAATATTTCATAATTCTTAAAGTGTCACATCAGAAATAATAAGATAAGATGTGAGGCTTTTTATGTGCCTTTTCCATCTCTGCCTCCAATGATAACATGGAGCTTATGGGTGCTTTGATGCTGATTAAAGGTTCAATCTAGAACAGCTGACCTGAAAATCGAGGCTTTAGTAACCTGCTTTTCCTAAACACCCTTCACTCAAGATCTCTGCGCTGTTTGCTTTCTTTCACATTAGCTGGAATCTAATGTTTCTGCACGTGTATGATATAAATTAAATATTTCACAAGTGTCAACTAAATCTTAAAAGGATCATGTGCATGTCAATCTTCCTGGAAGAGGAAACATTATATCATGTATGTAAATGGACTTAATGACTTTTTTCAATGCAGCCGGTAACACTTTTGACATATTGTGGCAGCAGTACAAGAAGCTCAGCCACAACTAGGAAACGTATAGAGATCCTAGCAAAGCAGACTTTCCAAAAGTATTCAGTTGTACAGCAGAATTCTGAGGACAGTAGTGCCTACTATATGCAGTCAATGGTTCTAAGCATACAAGTGGCAGATATAGGCATACAATACAACTGCATACAATAAACTATCCAGTTATGATACCAGTTTAAAGGAGTTGTAAAGTCCCGGCTTACGCTAGCCTGTTATAACATCAGCATTGAAATAGGAATACATGCTGTAGTTGTTTTTGATAATACAATCAAAGCTTACTTGAAAAAATCGTGCTTTGCTTCTCTTTCCCTGCTGCTTGTCGTGACGCAATCTCAATTTCTCAAGACTACATATCCCATAATGCATTGCTCAGATACTCCCAAGCAATGATGATGTTGCATAGAACTTATAGGAGATTTAATATAGAAATACATATTTGTTTTCCGTTTTTGACCATAGAAACCCTTTAAACATTCTTGCTGTGCTAAATATAAGAGCGAAGATGTGAACTGGATTTAAAGCATACCTAAACCCAGAAACAAAATTGAATATATTGCAATTTACTAGTCCTTAGATGTGGTGGCCCCATTTGTTTTACTTCAAGTTTTTTTTTTTTTGTAGGATAGTCTTTCATGGAGAAGGCAGTTTTAGCAGACTAAGAGACAAACGAAAGCCCAAATCTAGCTAACACTTTTTAGGTTGTTACAGCAACAACCTAAACAACAAACTGGACAAAATGTTTAAACCATATAAAAGCTGACAGTTGTAAGCCCCTTTGGCAGTGTTATGTGGTTTGTCCATGTCTGTAACTGCGACTTCTGCTTGACGGTTTGGTCAGTTAAAGCTGAATTCTAGGCACAAAAACTTTAATATAAAATATATTCCTTGTTCCTCAACAGCCACACAAGACATAAGTAAGGATGCACCGATACCATTTTTTTCAAGACCAAGTATGAGTACCAATACTTTTCCTTAAGTACTCACCGATACCAATAACCAATACTTTTTTTTATGTCATGTGACAGTTTTTCTAAAACAATACAGACTATTGATTTTAGGACAGTGGTAGATCGTCAGGGCCCAGTCGTAGCTGCAAATGCTGTGCTCCTGGTAGTTCTGCTACTGACTCCAGGCTGTAGTGGGACTACAAATCTCAGCAATAAATTACACAGCATTGCAGAATACCACCAGCTATAGAGGACTACACATCCCAGCGATACATTATACAGTAATGCAGAATAATATGAAGCTACATACTGTGTTGCTCACAGGGCTGTGCGCTGACTCACCAGGGCTGTGCGCGGTCTCACCTGGACTGTGTGGTTCTCACCAGATGTGCAGCCCTGGTGAGACCCACATGAGTGCTCGTGAAAATGCCCAGTATCAGCAGCGATACCAGAACTGGTATTGGGGCATCCCTAGATATAAGGCTTCATGTGAGTTTAGGGATTCCTGCGGCAAGAACCTATGAATTCCTTTGGCAGGAATCCCATATGTGCTGTTGAAAAGCAGCCACTTCGCCATTTAAGTTAATGATCAGGGGGACAGCAGCTGCATTTGAAAGCAGTAGGCCACTGGCACTCCGCATGTGGTTAGGAATAGATCTATATCCCTGCATGCAAGATATATTGTGTCCTGGGATAGTGATCTATTCACAACTGCATTTAATTGTATCACAATCCCCTTTAAATGAAGTGGGAAAAATAACAGATCTACTTGCAGGATCAACAGGTAACAAAACTGTTTTACAGAGAGACTTGGAAAAATAAAAATGTACTACTATTGACAGTCTGCACCATATATGTAACTTTTGATTTTGCCCATAGCTCCACTAATTCTAGTTGTCGGCTTGGATGATTTGCAGATCACATCCATTCCATGGGTGGATCAATATTGTATTTATTCATGTTTACTCCTAATGTTTGGAGAAATGAGTTCCCTTAACACCTGAAATAAGATATATCTCTTTTCTTACAGTGAAGTTAAACTTACCGTAGCATCCTTCCTATCTGACCGAATAGTTGATGAAATTTTAGATGCTCTTTCTAGCAGCCATCACAAACTGGTAAGTAAAACTCTATGATGCAGTTGTCTATTTACAGTGAAAGCTTAACCATGTTATTTATGATGGAGTGAAGTACTTTTCCTATACTATCAATAGTTTTATATAGTGAAAACCTTTTACACAGTAGTTTATCAAACACAGCGCATAGAATCTGGAGCAGTTGCTCATAGTAACCAATAAGCTTCTAGCTTTTATTTTCAAAGCTTAACTGACGAGAGAAGCTGATTGATTATCATGGGCAACTGCTCCAGATTCTGTTTTCTCCAGTTTTGATAAATTCTCCCCATTTCACATCACTGCCTGCACCAGAGGAATTTGTAATATAATGTCTGTAGGACCACATTGGTCAGATTTGATTTAACCTGTCAGTGTAGATTTCTAACAGCGGTTTTCAAAGATTGGAGCAACAGGACACAATGGTTTGAGTGCTTATGCTGATGGCCACAAGTGACCAGTGGGCATGCAGCATCGGCTTTGGTTTGGTGCCATCAGTTCCAGCAAACTGTCTGCAATATTTAATGATACATATTCAACATAGTTATGATCAGGCCTACAAATTACCAGGTTTACAGGTCAGAGATGTGGTTAATGCACTGACAGCTGTGGCAGCATTCACAAAAATGTTCATAAATGTATGCAAGCTGATATAGGAAACCTGTCAATAGGTTGCCATTGATTACATGTCCCTCTAAAAATGACAGTTGCCTTGCTATCATACTGGCCCTCTTCCTTTAATTAGTTATATTATTGGCCTTGTACATGTAAGCACTGCTCCTATCCTGCACTGTCCTAGGTGCTGCTACCATTATAAACCCCTGCATTTGCAGCAAGAGTGTTTTTATAATCACATGCAAAGTGTTTTGTAGTAGTTATTATTGTTATTATCATTATTATACAGGATTTGTATAGCTCCAACAGTTTGCACAGCGCCTTAAAAAATGGAGGGAGACGGTACAGTTACAATATGCAATATGAGGTTACTAATGTAACCTCAAATGCGTACATGCAGGGCCGATTTAAGGTCCCCACACACCTTACGATAATCGTACCATAATCACGGGAAATCCCGCGATCGTACGATTATCGTAAGGTGTGTGGAAGCCGTGCGACCTCTACTACTGTAAGGTCGCACGACTTTTAACTTACTGACATGTTCGAAAACCCGCCGAGCATCGTACGATGTTCGGCGGGTTTGTGGCATGTCCGTACGATAAAAGCCGTACGGGCTTTGCGATGGTTGTAAGGTGTGTGCCCAGCCTTAGACAGGAGCCAATTAACCTCCCAGCATGTCTTTGAAGTGTCAATCCGGAAACCGGAGCATCTGGAGGACACCAATGCAGGCACAGGGAGACTATGCAAACTCTATTTATATAGCATCCTGGTTGGGATTCAAACTGAGACATGAGTGCTAATCACTAACCCACTGTGATGCACTTTTGGATATGCATAACTGGGTTAGGGGATATGGTAGATAGATAGATCCACTAAAGTTTAGTAGAACAAAAGCTTATGGTAAAAAAGAATTAAATGTATTACAAAATGGTAACTATTGAAAGCAATGAAACTACAGTGAGGCCCCGTTAAAGCCATTCATATTGCTGTATCTTCATAAACCTTATCTTAGATTAAAGTTGTCAATACATTAAGCCCATTCAATGTCCTCCAATAAACGGAAAATAACAGTTCATAGCACAAAGAAGGATATGGTATACTATGCCAATCACTGTACTTGTGTTAATACAACACTGTATACAGTAGTAAAGATTTTTTTTTTGTTTATTTGGTGAGTATCCTTCTTTGAAAATGTGTATACACCGTTAAGGTTTCTTTAATTTTATATACACTGATGCTATACCTTGGTCACAAAAAACTTGGCTCTGTCTGTGTTCCATTAACCTAAGAATGTGAATACTCCTATCAACTTAAAAATGTGGATACTGAATACAAGTATCTTATCTGAACTTGTTTGTGTTATTATCCTGAAATGGAGAAAATTCTATGATAAGCTTTCTGAAATGAGTTACCAATGGTTTATTGTTTACTCGTACTTCTTCACATGAGTTCAGACATTGCTTGAGAAGTTCAGGGATAAGTTCTATATGTGTAATATTGCTAATTATGAAAATATCAGACAGTTCCACTGCATTAAATATGCTAGTGTGTAGGTATATAAATAGTTCTAATTTTTACATTAAACAGAACGATTTTTTTGCCTGGCATGGTAAAAATTAAATCAAGCAAATATATGTGTTGCCCAGATATTCCATTAAGTTTTATAAATAAGCCCTACTTCTATATGAGGAATAAATGGTTTGCATGTTTTCGTATACTAATGAGCCCTTTGCATAGCAGCTATAGAAATAAGAGTTTATGAGGAGATGGTGAGACAATGAACATAAGACCACTGGGACATGGAGATTTGGTATCTTTCAGTGGCTGCTCTTAGTCATTCTTACAGAGGCTCTGATGCTGTTAGACAGGAGGCCCAGTGGGAGAAGCAGCTCAGGATGTGATGCGTCTGTCTGAAAAACATCACATGATCTCTCATTAAAATATATGCTGTGAGTGCTTCAAGATACTTTTACAGGTTCTAAAATTACACTGAAACATAATAATTTGTTATAATAATACGCATTCTGTGCTATAACCTGCTTCCATTTAAATCAAGAGGAACATGACACATTTAAGCTCAGGTGTGGTGTTACTTATGTTCTTTGATGTGTGCATTACTCTGACAAATTAATAATAGTAATACAAAATATAGCAATATGAGATTTACCTCCAAATTGAGAGCTTTACAGGAATCAGCCAATGTATGTTTTAGGGCCCCTGCCCACTTTTATTCAATTACCAAAGAACCTTTATACAGTGGGGCAAAAAAGTATTTAGTCAGCCACCAATTGTGCAAGTTCTCCCACTTAAAAAGATGAGAGAGGCCTGTAATTGGCATCATAGGTAGACCTCAACTATGAGAGACAAAATGAGAAAACAAATCCAGACAAATCACATTGGCTGATTTGGAACGAATTTATTTGCAAATTATGGTGGGAAATAAGTATTTGGTCACCTACAAACAAGCAAGAGTTCTGGCTCTCACAGACCTGTACCTTCTTCTTTAAGAGGCTCCTCTGTCCTGCACTCATTACCTGTATCAATGGCACCTGTTTGAACTTGTTATCAGTATAAAAGACACCTGTCCACAACCTCAAACAGTCACACTCCAAACTCCACTATGGTGAAGACCAAAGAGCTGTCGAAGGACACCAGAAACAAAATTGTAGACCTGCACCAGGCTGGGAAGACTGAATCTGCAATAGGCAAGCAGCTTGGTGTGAACAAATCAACTGTGGGAGCAATAATTAGAAAATGGAAGACATACAAGACCACTGATAATCTCCCTCGATCTGGGGCTCCACGCAAGATCTCACCCCGTGGGGTCAAAATGATCACAAGAACGGTGAGCAAAAATCCCAGGACCACACGGGGGGACCTAGTGAATGACCTGCAGAGAGCTGGGACCAACGTAACAAAGGCTACCATCAGTAACACACTACGCCGCCAGGGACTCAGATCCTGCAGTGCCAGACGTGTCCCCCTGCTTAAGCCAGTACATGTCCGGGCCCGTCTGAAGTTTGCTAGAGAGCATTTGGATGATCCAGAAGAGGATTGGGAGAATGTCATATGGTCAGATGAAACCAAAATAGAACTATTTGGTAGAAACACAACTCGTCGTGTTTGGAGGAGAGAGAATGCTAAGTTGCATCCAAAGAACACCATACCTACTGTGAAGCATGGGGGTGGCAACATCATGCTTTGGGGCTGTTTCTCTGCAAAGGGACCAGGACGACTGATCCGTGTACAGGACAGAATGAATGTGGCCATGTATCGTGAGATTTTGAGTGCAAACCTCCTTCCATCAGCAAGGGCATTGAAGATGAAACGTGGCTGGGTCTTTCAACATGACAATGATCCCAAACATACCGCCCGGGCAACGAAGGAGTGGCTTCGTAAGAAGCATTTCAAGGTCCTGGAGTGGCCTAGCCAGTCTCCAGATCTCAACCCCATCGAAAACCTTTGGATGGAGTTTGAAAGTCCATGTTGCCCAGCGACAGCCCCAAAACATCACTGCTCTAGAGGAGATCTGCATGGAGGAATGGGCCAACATACCAGCAACAGTGTGTGCCAACCTTGTGACACGTTTGACCTCCGTCATTGCCAAGAAAGGATATATAACAAAGTATTGAGATGACCTTTTGATATTGACCAAATACTTATTTTCCACCATAATTTGCAAATAAATTCGTTCCAAATCAGCCAATGTGATTTTGTCTGGATTTGTTTTCTCCAGAATTTGTTTTCTGGATTTGTTTTCTCATTTTGTCTCTCATAGTTGAGGTCTACCTAAGATGCCAGTTACAGGCCTCGCTCATCTTTTTAAGTGGGAGAACTTGCACAATTGGTGGCTGACTAAATACTTTTTTGCCCAACTGTACAAGGTTTATCCTTGTTGGGGTTCTCAGCATTACACAGATACAGTAAGTATTCAGCCTTCTGTCTGTTTGGTCTGCTTAGACCCTTAGCCTCTATCAGTAGAGACTGAACATTTCCATCAGGCATTTGCCTCTTCAAATTGGCTGTCTGTAAGGCCAGACAGGCCTGGACACATACTCCTTGCATGTCTGTCTACACACGCACTGTTCTTGAATAAAAGGCCAGACAGGCTTGGACACATGCTCCTTACATGTCTATTAGACTCGTGCTGTCCCTGAATCAACCTGTCTCCTGTGGGGGGAAACACTGACTAAATCAAGGATACTCTGTTTTGTGGGCATCACCCACCTGTCTCCAAAGAGTATCATAACTGATCAGGGACCCTCTCCTTTTTTCACAATATACAATATAAATTTCTTAAAAGCATTGTTTTATAGGTGTTAATACATGATAAAGAATCAATCAAGCAAAAGCTGCTTAACAGTGATAGAGTATGTAACTAGGTGCATGAGTAAATAATGAGTACTATGGCATATCCCACTTGCTTACTTCCCTCATCCACAGGCTTTGCGATTTGGAAAAACTCATCCTAAGGTGTCAGAATGTGCAGTCATCTGGGAGCTCCTGGTTAATCATTTTATGTAATTTATTTCTAATGCAAGCCATAACAATTAAATTCAGTTTACAAATCACTTTATTTTAAGGTGTGTGCAGGAGTGCTGTCTCAAGGATTTGCAGTTCCAAGGGTAACAAGACAGTTAGTATAAGAGTGATTTCACTCACTTTGGAGATAACTTCCCATTGTGGCTGTCACACAGGAAGTTAAGGGAAATCTCCCCCAATGGGACACAGATGGCAAAAAAAAAAGAATAGACATCTCATAGACACCTTTTTAAAATGAATTACTTAATTTTTCAAAAACAAAAGTGTGTTTTTGTTCCTGGCAGGTATTCCAAAGATACATACAGATTTATAACCATAATTATGTAAACATTCTCTATCATACCTGGGTGTAATGAAGAATAGAAAACGTTCCAGAAACTAAAATAAACATAATTGTACAATTCATTGGGTATGTTAATTTATTTTAAAACAAGGTACAGAGAGGCACAGGCTGGCACAGTGATTCGATTGTGGCTTAAATATTTACACTGATTCTCTTTATCATATTTATTTAGCTTATCTCTTATGTATTCTATGTATTTTATCAAGTAAGCATTGGTTGTTAGAAGAGACAATTGATATTGTTGCATGGAATTACTTTATATATGCTTTCTGTATTGTTTCCTAGTACCAGAAAACTCAGTTTGGCATTGATCAGCTGTCTTCATGTGCTGGATATAATTAAGTCAGTGTTTCATTAAGTTGCTGCACAATTGGAAGTTTGTTCATAGTACGAGTCTGAAGGCAAAATACAGTGCTTGTGGTGTAACAGGTTGTCCATAATGGATTATTATACTGTGTAATTAATATTCAAGTTGCTGAAGACACAACTGGCAGGAAGATTATTTAAAGTCTCTAGGCAAACGTCTAAATCAGTGTTTCTCAACTTTTTTCAGTCATGGTACCCTTTAAAAATATGCAAAATCTCGAGGCACCCCAATCTAAAATGTAAAAACATAAATGTCAAAATGGAACAACAAAAGTCCCTCCACAATCCATACCAGACCCTTATCTGAAATAGGTGGTCTAGTATGGATTTAAGGGGGACCCCACGAAAGAACACAAAAAAGTGGGGGAACCCCTTTCACATCAGAATCCCCCTTTCGCATCAGAGTCCTCCTTTACTTTAGGAGCCCCCTTCTTTTACATCAGTCAGCCCCGCTCACATGAGAGCCCTCTCCTTTAACATCAGAGTCCCCCTCTTTCACTTCAGAAATCTCCCTTCACATCAGGAGCCACCCTTTGACATCAGAAGCCCCCTTCACATCAGGAGCCCCCCTTTCACATTAGAGTTCCCCCTTCACATCAGCTTCGGAGTCCTACCATAATTTCAGGAGCTGCCGCTGCATGGCATAGAGCAGTAGGCAGAGCAGGCATGGACACAGTTGAACTTCTGTCCTTTTTAAAATGGATCCCACCCTCCCTGGATTAGCATTCTTCATTGCCATTGTGCTGGCAGCTGGCCTACCTGCTCCATAGAAAAGGCATGATGATGTGTGAACATTTCTAGGCAACCCTAGGGAAGCCAGAGGGCACAGCACCCTGTTTGAGAAAGGCTGGTCTAAATCGACATACTGGGGAACTGCCGTACCTGCCAAAGGATTTGTAATTAAGTTCGACCATCATTGTGATTACGACACCCCATGCTGGGCAACAGACAGGTCATGCATTGTGACCTCCCTGCACACGATCCTGCCAGGGACTGAATAAAGAAAGGGCAGCAGTACAATGACAAAGGCATGTCTCTACTCTCTTCTCCCAGCCTATATGCTTCTGTGCAAGGGAATAAAGAATGCTTATATCAATACATATTTAGCTACTTTTATGACCTGTAGGTAAAAATACATTGAATTATTTTATTAATGAATGCATAACTGGATTAAATGGCTTTTTAATACCTACATGGAGTTCAGCTTTACATGGTAACCCTATCTAAAACTAATTATTTACTACTTTCACCAACAGCAAAATCATTTTACCAAAATACCCATTTCTACCTAAACACTGTGTACAATAAAAATCCAAATGATCAATTCGTGCTCCCTTTGCTTTCACTTCACTTTCATGACCGGAGGTAATTGATGCCTACATCCACAGGCCAAATCTAGAATTAATGTGCACACTTAAATTATGTTTATGCATATTTTAAGGGCATATAATTATTTTAAATGAAACACTGTTTTAATAAATAACAATCCTCCAGATTGTGGGAGGGAAGAGGGTAAAACAACAACATAATCTGAAGTATATAACTGATTTGGACTGCAGCTGAGAACATCACACCTTCATTAGGGACTTTTTGAAAAGTGCAGGGGCCTGAAATCCCACAGGCAAATATTCCCTCAGTAGGGTTACAAGGAGGCAGGGGGCGTATTCAAACTACTAGCACTGTATAAGTTAAATTAATTATAGACAATTGTAGAAAAAGTTCCACTGTCAAGGAATTAGGGATATAGAGAAATTGGTCCAGTAGAAGGCTTGGGCAATGCAAAAAACAGCCATGGGGAGTTTGTATATTGTGCATTACACTTACTTTCCCAATACTAGTCCAATCTGTTTATTCAAATGAAAGCATATTTTCTATATGATCTTATTATTGTTATTTGTCATAAATGCTCTTGTGTTCATTGGTACGTTTTGCAGTTTAGCTAAATTCAGTGTGTATGCAGAGTACTAAGTATTGTGACCTCCCTTTCAGGCGGATCATCTCACTAAGCGAGGAAAGCCTCTACCACATCAAGAGTCTCTTGAGATTGAGACTGTAGAGGAGAGACCCACAAAGCGTTCCACCATTACCATTGAAGATCTCACCGAGATGGAGCGCCTGGAGGATTTAGACACTTGCATGGTGAGTGACATTTACGGACACTGATAACCATTGGTATTAACGACATCCTTTGTGTTAGTAGTTGATTTTTAAGGGTATCTAAATGCTTTAAAGGAAGCATGTATTTTTTTTAAAATAGCCTTCCTTTGATAAACTGCTTCTGAAAATGGTAGTTGCCTGGTGTTATGCTCATCTAGATGACTTCAACGCTTTGAGTCATGGACCCAGGAAAATTGTGCAGTTATCTAGCAAAGTTTTGACCCAAGATTCACATATTTTCCAATGGAAAATATGTGAATCTTGGGTGAAAGCATTGATAAATAGACCCAAATTATTGATATCGGTGGATCAGCTTGGCTACTGGGCAACTAGTATTTTCCAATATTGACCAGCAGTGTCAGCCCCATATTGTTCCATGTACAGGTTCCCTTTAAACAATTTTGTATCTTTTTGCCTTTAATGTAACAATGGCATGTTGGAAAACACCAGTGCCCATAGTATTGTGTCTCACAATGTATTAAAAGCCATGGCAAAAGAATAAGATAATAGGAGGGGCATGGCCAAACATTATGAATTATTCAGACATAACAAGATAAATTATGTATTATGCATGAAGCTTTCCTATTCCATCTGACTGAACTCAGAAAATTGCAGTTCCATTTGTGTTGACAACAAATTAAGTTTGCAAATGTTACGATTTTAAATTTGAAGATCCATTGTGGTCTTTAAGAGTTTATCTATGTGTTTTATCAGTAGAGAGAAATAAAAATATGGCTCTTTTAAAAGGATGAAAGATGATCATTACCTAGTAGACATCCTGTGCCAATCTAATGGGAATAGTCTAGCTTCCCGTCTAGTGCTGCAGCAAGATTCTCCAGTGAACAAGTGTGTTGCTAAAGGCAGTACAATGTGTAAAGACAACAAAACCATCCTAGTGCAGTAGACAGAACTCTACTATGTTTTACATATTTAGTCTTTAGGGTGACAATGACAATATTTTATTTTGGACGTTTGCATTAAATGTATGATTGGGAAAAATCAAACCGCATGCTTCATATAAAAGGAGAGAAAATGGGGGGGAAAAAACACTTAGACCTGATGTAAATAGTGAAAATACACTCTATTACCTTTAAGGCACAAAACAAATTCAGTGGTGACCTTGTGTTTTCAAGTGAGCTCATTTTTCCTCTAAATTGTGATTTACTAAATTGTGAAACGCAGTGCAGTGAACCTTTGTTCACCATTAAAAAAAAAAAAAAAATTAGGGGCATGAGTATTTTTTTTTTTTTCTTTCTAATTGTCCTACCCATAGGTTGGATATACGTGTTCACTTCACACTTTTTTATTAAATCAAGAACTTGAGTGTAAACTAGGACATTCAAGTTTCAGTGAGTTTATTTAGAGACTTTCTTGTTGGAATGAGTGTCTGCTTTTATTGCTCAGAGTTCAGGCCAAATGTTGGATCTGGAAGTGTGTACAATATTGTGCAATGCAGAGGAAGTGCAAGGTTTGTGTTTTTTTTCGGGCTGCTGCTGTTCCTGAAATTGAATAAATGATGTTCTCTTGAAAGTGTATCTAAACCCCAGAACAAAAATGTAATTGCAGCTTACTAGTCCTCCGATGTGTTGACTGCATTTAATTTTCTTTTTTCAGGCTTTATTTTTGAACAAATAAAAAGAAAAAAAAAGGTCTAAGGAGATTCTGTATGCAAAAGACATTTATTTCAGTATCCAAAATAAATCGCATATAGATTATAGATCTCCTACCAAAAAATTCCCACTGAGCAATAACACATGACAATATTGTCATCCACCCACACAGAACTCACAACTGCATGCACTTAATCAGACTGCGGGATTATTGGTACCAAAACTGAACATAAATATATTATAGTTTATAATGTAACTACAGGGCAATGTAAGAATTCATTGCTCAACATGGGAGACCTGGGTACAGCATCAGGGGATATCCTAAGTGTGAGCTTGTTTGTTCATTGATATGCGATTTGGATTTCACTATATACTCCTACTATTTAATCACGCTTATTTAATATCCACTAGATATATGTGGAACCATTTCATTTTAATAATTTTTCCCCCTGCTTTTCACCTGGTGGTCTTGCCACTAACACACTCACTGTACTAGAGTGAAAGCACTTGAACATCATACTGTATCTATGGAGGAGCAGTGTTGTCACTAGGACAGGAATACAAGACACTTCCCCTCTCTTTTTCTCCATAACATGGGGGTGTTCCGTAGTCCACAGAGATAGCTGGGAACAGTGCTAGGTGATAGTAGTGTAGCACAGGCAGAGAGCACAGTAGGTTATCACCTAACAAGATTTATCAGACTAATCAAACTTCAAACAAAATGCTATTCATTTTTTAACAGTCTAAAATGGAGCAAATAAGATGATTCAATTGTTAGGGTTTACAGATACGTTTAGGATTATGATCTGATGAGCAATACTGATACTCCAGACCAGACAAAAATCAGAAGAAGTCATTGTTATCTGTCGTGGTTATGAACTCTGTAATTAAAGTGTTCTTATGCATTGGTAGTTTTTTGCATAAAGAATATGAAGTACACAGAGTCATACGTTTTGTGTTGGAGACAGAAAAGGTGAAGGCGCTCACATGTTTTTTAACAAGTAAATTGGTTCATGAATACAAAAGATCTACAAAGGATTCTGCCACTGTAGGTCTTTAAAATGCAATGCTGGTTTCGGCACAGATTTTAATTAAATGTGTCTTGAAAGGATTTTGCATGCTTTTAAAGTTAATATTATAATCTTAACAATCTTAAAATCCAGGTACAAGACCCACCTTTTTTATTTACTGAATTACATTTTGTTTTTTAAAATGTTAAACGCGGGAGTTTTCTTTCTATAAATTTTATTTGGAATTGATCACTGATCCCTATATTCCAAGCAGCATACTGTTGTCATGCGCAGCTTCCTATAAGTGAATCTGAGGGGCCTGTCCTCTAGCCATCTAGAGTCATGAAAGGCTATCATAGCGCCGGTGGGACAGCCTCGGGGCTTCTGAACTTATTCACTTCATTAAGTCATCAGATCAGCAGCTCCCTTGTTGTACATGCCACTGAGAAGACAGCACATAATAAATGCATCACATTCTCCTAATCCTTGTGGACAACAAACCTTGGTAAAATCTAGACTGACAGGAAAACCAAAGGTAACCTTTCCTGATATGTTGTGAGTATTTTACCTGTGAAAATGCCACGTTTGGAAGACGTATACTAGCAGATCTATTTATAGCTGTTTTTATCATAACTTAAAAGGCAAAAGCTTACTGTTATTAATTTGTTCTGTTAGAGTAAACTTACCAATGTATAGAGGCCAGTTGGTAGAATAATATGTCAATACACATACATACAATGTTGCCCATAGGACTTATTGTATAGTGTGTTGCTTGCCCCTAGTATCCCTATGCCCTGTAGAATGTATGCATCCAATAATGTCCAGTGGAATATACATTTTTTAAATGGAAACTGTATATGGTCTATACCAGAGGTAGGCAACCTTTTAAGCCTAGCCTTTAAAAAAATGTTTAGGTATTCAAGAGTGCCAGACACAAGGTTGCCATTAGAAATTATGGTGCTCTGTACAACCTACCATACACTTTACCTCCTTTCCCCTCAGTATGTCCCCACAATCTTCCAGATATCAACCATACTTCCCATGTTTAGAATTTGAAAAAGAGGTATACCGCAGAAGACTGGGACCTGCAACTAATAGTGGATATTGTTAAATTATGCTAAATATTGGGTGTGGCTTAATGATGTACACGCCTGCTTGTGTATACACCACACACAAAGTGCAGGGGTCAGGAGTAAGTAATGCAGAGAATGCAGATGTCAAAAGTAAGTAATGCCCAGAGTGCCTCCCAAGAACAAATTTAATGAAAGTACATGCATGCTCTGCACATATTGCTGTGGGCTGTTACTTAACTGCCGTCTGTGACCTCCTTGTTCCTGCTTCTTGGCTCCATTGTGCTCACTGCCAGCCTGCAAGCTGTCCCTCTCTGCCCCATTAACTTCGTTCCCCTTCTCTGCTGAAGTCCATTTCTCAGGTGAAGTCATAGTCCCCCACAGTGGTAGGTGTCTTGAAGCTGACCCTATTCAAGAGGTTTCCCATTGGCAGAGTGGAGTTCTAGTGCTGTAGCAGCCTGGAAATGGGGACTGTTAAGTCACATAGCGGATGAGGCTGAGCCCCAGGCTGCATTATATTTCATGCCCCAGCCCCATTACAGGATGCATAATCCAAATACAGGCTGTTTTTGCATTAGATGAACTTAAACCTCCCAAGCACTGGTTATTTGTGTTCTAGGAAAGACAATATATATTTTCAGGGTAAAATTTGAATTAAACAATTTTCTTCTGATGGATAAAAGGGACATTAATTTATTTCTGAATGGGTGTTGCACCGTATACATATTATTTGCCAGGTGATTCTAACAGATGTGGATAAAACTGTGGCAAAAGTAGTCCAAAGAAAATCAGCTATTTTTTTATCATTGTACAATTGTTCTTTCAGTTTACATCAGCTACATACATTCCAGGTGCATTAAAACTAAAGCTGTGTAAAGTTACAGTTGGTTTTCTTTTAGAAAGCCACATCTTCTATAGAAAAGCCTGTCCCCTACCAGCATGCTGTAAAAAAAAAAAAGTACCCATGCGCTCTGCTTGGATGCAGTGGTCTCTCTGCAGTGGTCCATCAAGACTCCACCTGAGTCAGACTTGTAGCTCTGCAACTAGCAAAGCTCATATTTCCTACTGATTGGAGAGCTTTAGCTCTGACCCACCAGGAGGCTTGTTGGACCACTGCAACCGCACAGAGAGCCTTTGTTTTTTATGCCCTTGAAATATATTTCACTAACTTAAAAGGAACGTTAATTTGCTCTTTAAATGCAGAAAGAAGTCAGTTTAGGTTTGCTGGCCAACTGCTCTACTTTGTTTCAATTTTTGTAGTCCCTATGTTTTATGTCAATGATTACGGAACCTTTTCCTAGTTAAAGGAGAACTATGGGGTAAGTGTTTTTCCCCATAGTTCTCCTAAGGGTCACGGGAGGACATAAACTAGCGTCCTCCCGTGATTCAAAGCTCAGTATACCGCAAGCTATACTGAGACTGCCACAGCCGGGACGGATCCCGACATTACTGTCGAGATCCACCCAGCTGCGTGATTGACAGCTGGCTCTGCCTATCTAGAGGCAGAGCCAGCTGTACCTGCCCCTTCCGTTCCGCTAGTCAGCGCTATCGGAGCGGGGAGGGGGGAATCCCTGCAGGGAGCCGTGTGTGACAGTCACAGCTCTCTGCAGGGACATGATCAAGAAGTGAGCGAGCAACGGGTATGTGTTCGCTCATTTCCCGATCTATTGAGTTGTGACAGTCTATTGAGTTGGCATGCGACAGTTTAATGTCACACGTCGGCTCGAACTATGAGGTTGAGTCCTTTAAAAAAAGTTTTACATATACAGGTCAAAAGCACTGTCACAAAATTGTTGAAAATGCTTACCTTGCGTGTAGCAAATTGGGGTTCTGTAACTGTTAAGCTACCGATAATTTAAACCATCGTACGATTTTCGTACGGCGACCCTATCCTGCAACGATTATCACAAGGTTGAATCAGCGGTAGTAAAAAAAAAACACATGGACGAATTGCGTTTGCTCAATAGCAGTGTAAATCGTACGAATTTTGACATACAGAAATTCCGCCAACCTTGCGAAAATCGTACGATCGACCAAAGTTTTCCAACCTGCTGGATAGTCAAAAGTCGATCGATTGTACAGTATTTGCGGTTGTACACTGCCCATCAACCTTTACTTATATCGGAAGAAAACACGAACGCATACGAAAATCGGACGATAATCGCAAGGTGTATGGACAGCTTTAGGCTGAGTTTACATGGGCGGCAGCCTCTCCCGCCCACAGAAAAACATTAGATTGACATGGCAGCCAGGCAGTTTAGTATTTTCATGAGAGGTAAACAGTAATGGCAGCCTCCAGGTTTCATTTTAGAGGTATCCTACTGTTGTGAGACTCAGCCCAAGTTAGAATTATCTTTCTTTTCTTTTTGTTTATTATGTTATTACTGCTGAGTTATTGAGGTTTTGATGTGTGGTCTTTTTATCTAACAGAATGTTTTCAGGTCTTTTTAGGTTATTCAAATTGTTGTTTTAGAGCAGGTATTCTCACTTGTTATGGCTAAATTTTATCATTAAAGTGATGAGCAGAAGAGTCTATTACTGTCTTTCCTTTTCTTCCTCTAACTTGACCAGTTCTTCTCTTTGCTTTCTCCTATATTTCCCAACTGTTTCTCTTAGAAATGTGCTAGCATTTTTCACTCTTCTTTTTTATTCACACTCTGTCCCCTTTCTTTTTGCTGCTTGGAGACTCTCTGCTGTAGAAGTGTAAGTACCTTTTCTTTTCTCTGCTTTTTTTCCGTGTCCTTTACTTTCATGCTTTATTTATCTCTCCCCCGAATAGCTGACTCATCAGTAATTGCAAAGGTCTTCTTCAGTTCTCTGAATTTAGGGGTTTAGCTAGCCCTTTTGCATATGGCTAATAATGGTCAATCCTACATGTTCTGCATTATTTAAACAAACTTGGAAATATAAGCATGATATACACAATATATTGCTCATTTATTTTTACTTAACTCACTCAGGCCAAAAATTATACTTGTTTTTCCTTACATGTTTTTGAGGCCAGCCATGCATCCAAAATTGGTATATAGCAATCATACAGCTAAATATGAGCTTGCATTATTTGATTCAGTCTTCTTCACGTATTCGTGCAAGACAGAGACCACTAGCTTTTACTTTGACTTGTAATAGTAATGTGCAGAACAACCAGGGTGTAGTAGGCTGGTATTAAGCCAAAATACTTTATCTTACAAACATGCTTAAGGATTGAGCAGCACAAAATGACGGCTATAAATGGGACTGCTCATTTTGGGGAAAATTGGTTGGACATAGGATGAATTTGAGGCTATATCAGAGTATGTGCATGCCATTCATAGATAAGCTGTGTTTTTCTGGAAACTGCACCACAGATGCAACAAGTAGGAATTGTAACACAGAGGTGTTTATGCAGCCTTAAGTGTTCTTTGTCCTTTTTTTTTTTTTATCCCTGGAGTGCTCCCATAAACAGATAGTGGATCTTTTTTTTGTGGAACATGATTTCTGGGGTTTTTGCAAGGGCTTGAATTTAAAAAAGTATTCCTGTATATGCTGTGAGAATTCCCCATTAGATGGTAGGCAGAAAGGGCTGAATCAGTTACAAGAGACAATATAATCAAAAACAAAAATGAATCCAGTTTATGTCCTGCAGTTTATTGTGAGGAGTTCACACCTATAGTGTATAACAGAAGCTTTATGTCTGGGGAAAACAGTTAATCAGACTAAACAGGAATGAAAATAAATCCTACTTGTCTGAACAGTGACTAGACCCTTAGTTTTCCTGTCTAACCTCTAAGAAAAATCAGATCAGCAAGCTGTAACTCACTGTACCTCTGCAGCAGCACAGACCTCTTGGGTCTGCTACAGCTCCAGCCTCTCTCTGAGCTCTGGAAAGTACATTTTAAAAGGAACCTGGCAATACAGACATGGCATCTAACATTGCATCTTTTGTTTAATGTTATGCTGTTGAATGAAGAAATAAGTGGACTGTCTGGCCATTGTTCTCAGACTTGAACTAAGCATGTAATGCTAAATAAGGGGTAAAGATAAATATTTTATGAGTAAGTCTCTTGGTTATAATACCAGGTTCTTGCTTAACTCCACTTGTGACTTATTCTCCTTAAACCCTGGCCACCACTTCAGCCAGACTCATGGACTTAGAATCAGAGAACCGAACCATCTTTTCCCTAATTGAACTCCAGGGCCCTATTTAAAGCTAAACAAAAATGTTTTTTTTACAACATATTTTCTGAAACCACTTGCTCATACAGTAACATCCCAAGAGAGCTGTACCTCCTGCATTTTCTTGTCACCTTTTCACCATACAACATGCCTAACTCCATCCTGTTTTATTGGACTCTCCCTATCCTTGGCTATTTGATGTAATAGGAGGCATCACTGGCCATTCGGAAGGATCCTGGGGAAGGAGTGGGCAGAGCAGAACTCATCCTTCTGAGCTCTAGTCAGAATTTTGATAATATAATGCCCTGGGTTTGGGGCTTCCAAGACAATCTGAAAATATATGGATACCAAACTTACAAGTTACATTTAGCTGCCACGGTCATTTTAAAGCCAAATGATGTTGCAAGGTTCCCCAATGTATCTTATGTAAGAAAACACATTTTTTGAAAATCAACCTTTGAGTTGTCTTTAAGATATTGTTGGAGAGACCTTAATCAGAGACTACTGCAGGAAACTTTGCCATTTGAGTCTTTGCTATATAAAAGCAGAGAAGGAATAGGCCTACCAGTACATGCTGAAGCAGGTATTTACGGTTCATATTGAGTTGTCATTGAAGCCATAATCTACTTTTATCAAAGTTTCTCCTCCAATCTAAGGTTAATCTGTATTCAAAAAATTTTGGGACTAATATTCATGGTACATAAGTAATCATAAGGATTACTGCAAAGTAATTGGGTAACCTGCACTTGACAATATGGCACTGACATTCCTAATTTTCAGTGTATTATTACTTTTAGTGTTACAATGTTAAAAATCCAAATAAAATGGCTATTGGCATTTACAGACGCATACATAAGTGTACCATGAGCACAAAAAATTAGAGTAGACTGAGAGGACTTTGTGGTATGCAGGCCTTTTTCTGGCAGTCTATATCAACCCTTAGTATGGTTCATCTAGCATTGTCTGCTACCATTTGCTGTTCAGAGTTACCATAGAGATAACCAGCTTGGCAGCTAAATCTCATAGATGGCTTAAGTCCTCCAGCTGCTCAGACTTTGCTGTTCTGTGTGATGGCACATGGTAAGCCATTAAGCTATGATTATTAACATTGCTTACTTGTTTTTTTCAGTCTTTGCTGTGTGATCTGGAATCGTGTGGTTTATTTTAAATTTTACTTTATTTAACCCCTTCATGACTGAGCTTGTTTTTAGTTTCTGTTCGTAAATGACTGACACACTTTTGACATTTTTGCTGTGTGATTCTTCCACGTCAGTAATATACTTTCTTACAAAGTGCACCCACACATATTATATATTGTTTTTTAGAGGACAGATAGGGCTACATATTTATATCACATATGTGCGTCTAACGCCTCACTTAGGACAAATAAAATATAAAAAAAGAGGAAAAAAACGTTAAAAAAAACACTTTTTTCCCAGTTTTGATTTGTAGTATTTTTTTTACAAAACCAGCACAGCTAAAAAAATGCAATAAATACATTCATTTATTTGTCCCTTATTTTATTTTATTTTTTACACATTTTTTTATTTTTTTTACACTTTTCACAATTTTTTTTTTTTTTTACACTTTTCACTTTTTTTTTAAACTTAAAAATGTTATTTTATTTATTTAATTATATCAAGCAGATTTTGTGAATTAATCTCACTGTTACTGCATGATAAATTAATACATTTTTGGTTATTATCAGGCTGCTTCAAACTTCAGAACAGCCGATAATCAGTTAGTGACACTGATCCTGCAGCAGTTCAGGATTCAGCTGTTACTAAATGTTTTCTGATTGTTGCAACAACGATCAGCAAACAAACATTCTTCTTCCAGGAATAGATACATTGTAGGAATAGACACATTTTGTATCTATTCATGAAAGAAAAAAAAAA